AGTGATTATATGTTATAGTGTTTCATTTTACTACTTAGTGTTCAATGTGACATATAACACAAATTGACAGTGCCGTTTGACTTGTTTTACACAAAGTGATATTTGACTACTGTTATCTTTCTACCTGGAAGTCAGTTTGATAGATAGTGTAAATTGACCGCTCAGTTATATAATGCTGTGTTTCTGTCTTTAGAATTATCAATCCACAAAAAACCTCGTGCAATCACTGTAACGTGTAAATCAGAGCTATCAAAACGGATTTGTACTGAAATAAACACATTCCAGTTTTCGAAATATATTTTAAAAGATCAATCTGAATCTTTGTCTGGCAGTCACATCAATATGAAATAATAGTTACCAAAGATCACTATAACCAACAGATTACTTTTAGACAAGGGCAGAAATGTTGCCTTGCAGAAGTTCAGTTACGGACCACTCAAAGCGTTGTTGCAAAGGTTCTGAAGCGTGAAGAGAGTGTTACACTCTCCTTACACTAGGTAATGGATTTATCGCCACCATAACGAACGGACGTTGCTGCGTATTTATACATCTGGCACATCCAAACGAACTTTCCTCTTAAAAATAGCGAGTCAAAGGGTGACCATATTTCAAAACTAGTACCCCATTCATTTCTTTGGATCATGATTATTATGATAACAAATAAATGAACTAGATATTCATAGTTATGAAAGATTTCATACCTGCTATTTGCAGTGGGTTAAAATCATAAATTGACACAACTGAGTTTTGAGACATTTTCCTCGTTAAATTTCAATTGCTGTGTTGTTTCTCTATTTTCCCCTTTTTGGTTTGCCATACAAGGCACAAAGTTCTTTTCTATAAAAATCCAGATTTGTTGTGTATTTAAACATCCAGATCTGTGGTGCCTATGAAAATCCAGATTTGGGGTAATTTTATAACGACGTAATCATATTTTCAAATTTATACTGAATTTAACTATACAGGTTAGAATTTTGATACAAAGTATTTAAATCAAGACAGGACTTTATCTCAGCAAATATAACTGACAGAACTATTACCATGAACTGTTTTTGTACAGATTAAAAGATATTACAGTTTAAGATCAGCTATGACTTGTAATTTATACGCACGGATAGATTTGAACTGCATCATATGAATAAGGAATATGACGATGAGCAGACGAACACAACTGGTTTCCATAGGAATGTTAACATTGTATTGAAAAACACGTCCATCAAAGAAACAAACACATTTGTTGTTAATGAAACAAAAATTATCATGTCAGTTCACATTTCTATTCTCTTGTTTGAATCAAGGCTTTTTGACATTGTATAATTCTATGCAACTTGCCCGTTCCTGCAAAAGAGATATTTGTATCTACATTGGTCATTTTCATTACATATGATGAAGAAAAAAGTGGGACTTATTTTTTTACTCTGTCTTTAGGTTAATGATCAGGAATACGCGTGTAATGGGTAAAATTCTAATGTTTGAAACCATTTTCACTATATGCTATGGATAAATGTATAATCGCTCTTTATAATGGGATAATTTACAACCTCTGAGTCGATGCCACTGCTGGTGGAGGTTTCCTTCCCGAGGGCATCACCAGCGAAGTATTCAGGACTTCTGTGTTGACAAGAATTATCATTAATATGATAATAGTCATAAATACATGTAATAAGTGATTACTAAACCTTATTTTTGTCAAAACACTAAAGATTATCTACATCAGGAATACATTACGTTATCTGTATTTTGCAAAGCCTTTCGGAATTTAGAGGCATTAAATCTCTTCAACGTCGTACTTTATTTGGCATTTTTAACTTTTTTTATTCGACCCTGACTGATGAATCTTTTGTAGACGAAACGCGGATCTGGCGTACACAATTTTTATCCAGCGACTCATTTCACCAAAAAAACTTAAAGGACATTAGTTTTAATGCACCAGATGCGCATTTCGACAATTTATGTCTTTTCAGTGAGGCCAAAATATTGGAATATCTAAAATCTAATACAAAGGTTAAAGAGCGGATCAAACCAAAAAAATACATTTTTTAGTATAGCAAAATCCGGACAATGAATCAAAACTTTGCAAGAGGGAGACATATTTGCTTAATTTAAAAATTATTTCCAAAATTTTACAATAGCAAATTTTAACCAAACAATATCGGTATTTTCATGCCAGTTCTTCGCTGGCTACTGGACTGATGATACCCCCGGGGACTAACAGTCCATCAGCAGAGGTATCAAACCAGTGGAAGTAATAACATAAATGGTACCAAATTTAATGCACCAGATGCGTAATTCAACCATTAATGTCTTTTCAGTGAGCACGAGGCCAAAATATTGGAACATCTAAAGTCAGGAACAATTCAATATAACTTACGATCAATTTTAATCTTAAAATTGTTTTGTTAAAATAGTAGCCGGTATCTATTATGATGAGTTTATCATCTCTTTGTCCTTTTCTATTTTTCTTGGTCAAAACTTTGTTCAGGCAATTGCCTCATATTGCCCCAAGGGAAGCTACATCACTGTATCTTTGAATAAATCATATTTTACTCTTCGGTTCTTATACATCTTTGACTTTCGAATATTCTTCTTTGAGCGTTCCTGATGAAGGTAAATCTAGAGAAGCGCTTCTGAAGCATGCTATTTGAAACGTGTTGTTTTCATTTTTAGTAAGATTAATTTAAATTTTCGAGCACAATGTTTTGCATTTTTTGAGTAACGGTTTGCCATGTGAAGGAATTTTTATTCTGCTTAGTTTATCCGGAATCATGCCTCTTTCGTCTTAGACATTTTGAGCCTGTTCCGAACCAAACTTTTCATACATTGTTTATCGCATCTACATTAAACTTTATACCTTGTTAGATCCTTATATGTAGATGTGCATGTGGGTAGAATGTTCTGGTCCATTGAGTTTTTGTTCGTAATGCTTCTTTCAACTTAAAAAGATTGCAATACATAAAATCTCAAATATATACGTGTTATTATACTCCAATAGAAGTTTTTTTGTAGTGCATGCTCACTTTTCTAAGTGTTATTTTGAATTTATTCGCCTTCCAAACGGTTTAGCAAAGACTATTCAAATAAAGAGACAAGAAAGTTCTGCAAATTCTAGATCATTATTATTTCTTTAGACTTTCATACAAACATCATGAACATAGAATTACATTCAATCCTAATTTTAGCATATAACATTTAAATAATCAAATAAGGCGTGTCATTTTTAACATAAAATACTGAAATAGTTAAAAATATCAATAGAATATCAATAGGTTGCAAAATATAAACTGGAAACCCCCTAGTTTTAGATATATTATTGACCAAGACTCCGGATAATATCAGTGACGCATTTCATCGTCAAAATATTAACTGGACCTCTGTAAATGAATTACACACAAACACCTTTCTCTAACATTTTGCTAAAAGAATATTCAATCGAAATGTATCCCCAATTCAGAAAAAGGATTTTACAAGTGTAAATCTGACATTTTATCTGTTTTGGCCTGTTCCTGGTTGTGATACCTATTGATGGAAACGAGTCTGGGATCGTGTGACGGATGATGCAAACATATCAAGATATGCTTATTCAGAAACAGAAAATCATAAACATGTCAACACGTCAACTGATATAGGAATTGAGTTAAACAAGGGTTTATTGCTTATGGATTGAACATAGCAAGTGATTATTGCATAGACATTGAGTTAAAAAAGGTTTATGTTTTAATTGCGCAGATTTTGAGTAAACCAAGGTTTTACTACACCAACAATTCTACGTGCATGACGTTCTGTCCAGTTTGTATCTGTTGAGTAATGAAAAATAACATACAAAATCACGTTAACCCATATTCGAAGTAATTACAAACGCAAGGTTAATAACTTAATTCTCAAACGGTCAACTTAAATCAGGTAAAGAATTGCAAGACAGTGTGTAGTACTATACATTAAATGATGGTCATGATCCTAATACGATGGGTCTATATGAATTATATCTGATGCAAATAACAAAGAAAAAGGATATAAAAAAATCATATAAAAATACAAACTGAGGAACTACAGTAGTATTATAAAATCATTTTTGCAATACAAAAATTTCAAATATATACTAGTAATTATATATATATATATACTCCAATGCAAGGTTTATTTTAGTGTATGTTCACTTTTCAAAGTAATGTTTTAAATATAATCGTTTTGCGAGTGGTTTGGCAAAAACTATTCAAATAAAGAGACAAGAAAGTTCTGTAATTTCTATTTCATTATTATTTCTTTAGATTTTCATAAAAACATAGACCAATAATCAATCCTAATTTTAGAATGTAACATTTGAATAACTAAATAACCTACGTGTCAATTTTGACATAAAACACTGAAATAATTATAAATATCAATAAAATATCAATAGGTTGCCAAATATAAACTGGAAACCCCCTTGTCTTAAATATTACTGACCTAGACTCCGGAAAATATAAGTTACGGATTTCATCGTATTTGACAAGATATTTAGTGGCAATATCTAAATGATATACACATACGTACTCAAAAATTAATTTGCGAATCGAATATTCAATCGAAATGGATCCCTATTCAGAAAAAAAGCTTTGCGATTTGAAAAACTCTGATCGATTTGGATGACAAATTTTGCTTACCGAGTTTGTTTTCCAAGTGACGCAATACGTCAAAAATGCATATTTCCCACTTAATCAATACAATCGCGGAACAGCAATGTCAACAAGAAACTTAAAGTAACTCAAAATAACACTCAGGCTTATTGAAAGTCAACTCATATAATTCATCATACAATATTTACAATAGTCGATCAACAATAGACACCCTTATTAACGGATTCTCGAATTATACTTAGTTTGATATGAAAGCCTGTAATGAACTTTGACAAATTTAATCAACAATATGCATTTTTAGTAAATCAAATATTTTCTGGCTTGAGCAATAATATGCATTTTTAGTAAATCGAATATTGTCTGGCCTGAGCAATTATTAAAACTACGGAAGTCTAAAGTGATTTATTCAATCTTAATATATAGCTTTACACTAAAAGAGTCTTTTCAAAACATCACGGTTTATCTTAATACCGGACAACGATCATGTTTCAAAATACGTTCACAAAACTTACAAACTTTCATTTCCCGGAAGAATGACACACATGTTATTTGTTCATTTCTATGCAATGTATAAAGACTATAATTAAACATATAAGCTAAATAATCTGATAAGAAATGATGATGTTGTAATGGGACTATTCAAGAATATTAAATATATATGTCCAGTATGAAATCACGACACCAATTATGTGAAACGTCTTCACTATCTCAAAATACATTTGTTATATCTATAAAACAATATAAAACAAATTAGTAAAAAATGAACGCATGTTATTTGATTTTTAACAGAAAAGCAAACAATACTTTATAATCTATAATGATTCGAAATGTACTTATTTAACTAAAACTTATAAAACAGAGATATGTGTCAAAAGGATAGTGTCATTGATGGTAAACTATGTTAATTAAAATCTTTAACCTGATAATGTACTTGTTCCAAACTATCACATTTCTCTGATAAGAAATCCTGAAATCGGGATCTAATCTGTTATTTGGCATTACATTTACAAAGATTACATCCAAATAAACATGAACACTAAGTTTCATATTGATGTAATCTCATTTACTTGGAAAAATTACCTTGACCAAAAACTTAAACAGGACACGGGACGGACGAACGGACGGACAGATATCCAGATACGGATCCAGAATCTTGAGAATAGGTGGGAGGGGGTGCAACCAGTCAATGTTTATGGTTCGACTTGTTCCCCCCGCCTCGTTATTCGCCTCTAGTATCAGGCGGATAGAAGCACATACAAGAGAACATAATATTACAGGTTATACAAATCTTTAACACACAATATTAATCAAAGCATCCAACAAAAAATTAAAAGTTATAGACTGACTACCACATTCCCATTTGCATCCAAATAGTAAAGCTTATCTTCAGTTAGTATGTACATACAACGAGTATCATTTACATATATTCTAAAGCACAAATTACGATTACTTTTATGATAAACAATGATCATAGTATTCATAAAGTTTATCAGATCAATGTATTTCAAGCTAGGTTTAAATTTACCAAAGCGGAAAAACACTTAAAACTTTTCATTGGTATAGCATTTAAAATAATTTATTCAAAACATGACAAGGACCGAATAATTAATTTTTTTAACAACATTATAATTTTACTCATCAAATATTGCCTGTCGCATAAACCATCAAGATTCCAAGCTTCTCTTGACGTACCCTGTTACACTCCACTGACTACCCAGGGAATAATCAGCTGATTAGATTAATTGACATACATTTTGTTTAGATTACACTAGAATAACAATACTAGAAAATTATTCATTGATTATGTTTTTTTTTTAATTGTTAGTAACATTGGACTTATTATCTTATGTCCATTAATATTGGTGCCAACTCTCTTAGTATATTCATTCACAAAATTTCTGTAGACGTCTATGTTTTTTGTTTTCTGCTCAGATACATTGTATGACTTATATATTGAAAAACTAAGTACTGTAATTAAAAAAATTATTGAGTAATACTTGTTGTCTGTGATTTTGTATCCAAATATTAGGTGTTGTAGTTTAAAAAAAAAATCTATATTACTCCTTTTTAAGGGGTCGTATATTTGTTGCCAAAATCTTGTCAAATAAGAACAATTAAAAGAATAATGAGCGAAAAATTAAATTTAATACGCATGTCTGCGAGGCACTAAGACATATCGAGACAATTCACACAAAAACTGTTATTGAAGTGCTAAACCATACTCTGCAATGATTCTAGATCTATTTACTTTTATTGCATTTTCCAATAAAGCCTTTTTCTTGCGGCTAGCAAAACGTCCAAATGTTTGCATTCGTCATTAACTTGTGCAGTCACAGGCAACTCATTGACAGCATTTTTGTGCGTGTTCCTCTTTTTTACATTTGATTCCCTCACAGCTCGCCTAAGATACATGGATGGCAACTTTAATGTTGCAATGCTTGCAAAAACCTCACCGTCAGAAGCGTTTTCTGAAATGATTCCATTTTCCTTCATTGCTTCCACATGCGCGGGTAAAGTCATTTTTATGTCTTTGTGATCTGTAGGGAAAGTGTCTATTATAGGGTTTCCATGCAGTTCAACCTTTTCCACAACTCTGAAATATTTCTCAAAAAATTTCGGCCTGTATCCTATGCCTGCCATAATATAGATAACCTAAGAAAAAAATGTTAATCATTTAAGATGTGTCAAAACAAATGTACCTTCTACAGTTATGTTCTAAAATATCAACCGATACAAGAGATACAAGATATTTAAATTGGATGAAAATGAAGCACAGAGAAGGGTTTTGATCATATTCAAAGACACTTTACATTTATTTTCCAATTTAAAGGTCAACGAATATCAACTTTATTGAACGTTTAGATTCCTGTTATTAGTTTGGGAAATATTCAAAAGTCTTTACTGAAATTTATAATACTATTTTAGACGTTTAAAGTCTAAAATATGGATTAATTACTATCCCTTTGCCATTTTTGTGCTCGTTACGTCTTTGTATTACCACCACTGTATAACAGTAAATAACAGTAAAGAAAAACAAAGAGAAAAATGAACTCACCTCCGTTCCAATTAAATGTGGCCATGAAAACCAGGCAACAGCGACTGATAAAATTGGAAATAATAGTAAAGACAAGATAACAAAGCATATATGTTTAATTGTTGATGCTGTATCTTTCCTTTTCATCATGAAAAACATATGCATTGATTCCCAGTGTTGAACTCATAAAGAAAATAAAAGAAGATGAGCAAAATATAATCTATGGTTTGGAGAAGTCTTGAATTTATCGTCGATGTTTGTTGTTCATCTTTGTTTTTCGACCTATATAACATTTTCCAAATTTCAAGTTGAACTCATTGCTTCAAGACAGAAATAACAAAATAAAAAAAAAGAAGAAATGGAAGCATATTCAACAATAAATTCTCAATTGATAGCTTAGTGGCATATAATACAGTTTTGAACACACACTGATCTTTTCACAAGAATTTGCATGCAAGCTTTTTTTTTCTACCTGATCAATTATAATATGTTATAAAATATATACCTTCATGCACTACTTTTAGAGATAAACGAGATCGAAATTTTAGATAACCACTAAAAATTTCGGATTTTTTTACATTTATATATCTTGAAGAGAAATACCTATTTTTTTTTAAACATAAGTATTCTCTAAATATGTTAACATTTCTTTCGGAATAATTCATATGTATAAAATTTTTATAATTTTAGAAAAAAACCGGGATTTATTTGCTGTATATGTATCTAATTTAAAAAAATCGTCGCTGATTTTTTTATAAAAAATGGTAAAAATAATCCTCCTACATTTATAAGCCAAATATCATTTAAAAAACAGGGGTCCATTTACTTTTGCCACATTGCGACGTCGTGATAAATATTTGATTACGTTGGCGACTTTATTACCTCCCTTGTGACTGTAGCGTATGCCCTCAACCGAACTTAAAAGATTTAGCAATAAATTATATAGTATTCTTCAGTCTTTTATCAATATTAACATCTTTCTCTTTTTGCCATCAACTCAGATCTATTGTATCTATGTTTTTTTTTAGTTTTTGTAAGTTATGGTATAACTACTTACAAAGCGACAGTCGCCAAACACTGAAGTATGCATCAAGGTAAATACTGGATACGATATCTTAACACAACTTCACGTTTTAATATCAAGACATAATAGATGATTTTTTATAACCCAAATGTTCTTGTCGGATTTTATTTACATGTGAATTGCTGTCTTTATCAGTCATCGTTGGGTCATGTTTTCATACGCGCATTCAAAATTTACGAAGCACAGTAAGCACAAGGGTTTTTGCCCTTCCAAGAGACACGAGGTTGTGGATGCTTTAACAAAATTGTTTTAATATGCACAAATAATTATTTGGAATGTCTGACTTAAGAACTTGGCATTCAAAACAAAACTGTTAATCCCACATATACCTCTACATCATTCACGAAAAAGGAGATTTTTATATAAACAAGTCCGCCTTTTCATGTTGGATAATAACATAAAACAGGACGTCCAAAATCTCCCGTCTTTATACTGGATTCCTTAACTTTACAGGCATCCTTATAAAGAATGATATATAGCCGGGTAGTCATGTTCGACTAAACATCTTTCTAAAGTTCTTACCGTCATTCTAGATCTCTCTTTTATTTTAAAAGATATGGCTTTCAGAAACAAAGTGATGAGGTATATGCAACCATAAAGATTCACACTCGAATTTTTAAAGATCTACTGCAAAATCGTCCTGCTACTCAATAATCCACATTTTAGTGAGAGTTTGCATCTCGTATATTCTAGTGAACAATGCGATAAAGGATACTACCGAAACTAAAAGGTCTGTATCATATCTTAAGCTTTTCTTCATTATTAATTCAGACTGACTACTTCAAGCTAGAATCTATGTCAAACGTAATGATTTCAACTTTCCAATCGTCAACTTTTCATTTCGCAGCAGTAACATACCCTCTTCTCCATAGTTTGGTGTTTATATATACCATTTGATATGTTACGTTCGTGCATGTTCACACTATACATACTTCATTTAGAGGAATGTGCTCAGTACACAAAAACTTATGTTATATGGAAGAACGATTCAAATCGACAGTACATAAGTTTTATGGTCACCATCACGAATTGGTTGACTGATACTATATGTCTGTGTCTCAACTCATTAGCCAACCGAAAACAAAAGCTGCAGTAAATAATCGGATTGATTGATTTCATTGATTAACGTATGCAAGAATTAGCTTCTTTCTAGAAATGACCCTAAACCCTTTCACCTTGTATGATTTTGCTGAATTATGTAGCTGTATTTTTATTAAAGTAAATTGCGCATCAAATTCTTGATAAGGTGTGACTTAACTGATGATAAATGACCAAAGTCAGATTAGACTTCAACATACATTCCGTAACAGCTATCCTGATTGAAGTCATATGAGACTGAACATGAATACCGTAACAGTTATCCTCATCAGATTAAATATTATTTTGTATAAGACAATTAACAATGTTTACCTGTTATGTTTGGTGGCATTTACGGAACAGCCATATGCGACGAAGCCTGTATTAAAGAAATTGCGTAGCTCCAAATTAACGGATGCGTATACAGATTGGTTGGGTTGTACCATGAGTTATCTTTGGTACGATAACTGTAATACCAAAGATTTCCAGTCATGTTTAAAACTCCCAGGACCAGGAATGTTGCAACACCCCACGCCCAACTCTTCCGAAGGATTCCCATGATTATGTATGCCACGCCTAGGACGAAAAATAAAACAAGTGCAAAGTTAACAGCAAATGCATTTCCATATCGGAGTTCCCCTAAGGATGGCATGTTGAACTGGACCAAGAACATCATCGAAAGCATAACATTCGTTGGTATAGTGAAAACATGTACATATTTTGGTATAACACCTTGATGGAAAATATCGAAAGTATACATCTGGTAAAGAAGATCGAAGAAATCCCACTGCACCCGTGGAACAACTAGCCAGTAACTCAAAAACTTTTCCCAACAGTTATCTCCTGGAATATTGGAACATCCGGGCTCTACATCATGAGTAAGAGCATCGTATGAAGTTGGGTCACGTTTAAATGCTTTCAGTAATTCGACAACTCTTTCAGACACTAGTTTCGCTGAGGTAACATTTTGTAGGAGAGCTCCGAAATATAAACCAACCAGTTTCTTTCTTACTTTATCGTTCCAAAACTTAATAGAGAGAATGTTAAAGTTGATCGTGTATATGCGCGTGTAGTTGCCATCATTTTTCTCAATATTTAAACGTGCATCATAGAAAGGGATTTGTATGTTGGGGTGAGCTTCACTGCTTAAGCTGTGATCATTTAAAGCATTCTGGATGTAGCCATGGATATGGGATTCTGCATTTTTGATGGCATCATCGGTCTTTAAATTCTCTTCTCCAACTTGTATTGTCTGTGTATAAGTATATAATTTGGCCAATTCATTTTCCGTTAATTCATTATCATATTTTTCTGACGCCATCTTTTAGATCTTCCTGGGATGAATTGTGTTTTTGTCTGAAATAAAATTATCATTAAGTAGGACATTTATTCAAATACACAAACATGCACTAAACAAACTTCTTTTTAACATAGTTTAACAACAGTGACTGGTTAATAATAATAATAATAATAATAATAATAATAATAATAATAATAATAATAATAATAATAATGATAATGATAATAATAGGTTTTATGTCGTTTTTGTTTATAAAGTTTTCCACGTAATCAGGTATTTATACATTATTGACTCCTGAAATGTTAGGGTTTGAGCGTTCCTGATGAAGTTAAATCATGAAAAGCGCGTCGGCCACAAGAAATGTTTAGTGTTATTTTATCTAACACTCGGTCAATACGGCTTTTATATGAATGTTACTCTCCGATGGTATCATCGCCTTAGTAGTCAGTAGTAGTTGGTATTGATATCAATTATGAAAGTTAAGATAACTTTGATCTTAGATAGAATTTGTTATTTCTGATATCCTTATTGGTCAAAAACTAAGTATTTAGGAATATGACAACCGTTGCTATTACAATTTTGGGGTTGAGCATTCCTCCTGAATGTTAAGTCAGAAAAGCACGTTGAAGAAAAGAAAGAACAATTCAAACCAAATGCTTAACTTAGAATCGGACCACCGAAGTACATAAACATGAAACAGTACCGTAGGTTGGATGTGTGAAAATTAATGGAACAAGGGTTTATCGCTATTTTACGAATTTTTCAATTGATCTTGCTGACTGATAATTTCCGTTCTCAGCGGAGTCGAGTGATATGAAAATTATCGCTAGAAACTAAGGGAACACGTGCCGTTGTCAAGGAAATTAACAACGTCTTCATAGGTAAAATAGCGATAAACAGATTATCATTGGTCATCTCAACTCGATTGCTTTTCTCGCTTTCGCCGTACCGGCTCAAACGAGAAAATCAATCTCGTTGAGATAACCAACGATAATCTATAATTATCACAGTTCGAGGAATGAACGATAACACCATGATCATTCCACAATCAAAATAAAGACAAAAACCAACATTCAAGAAGAATAACGCCGAAAATTTTACAATAAAAACAAGAACAACAAAACAAAAAGCAGCCATGTAGTCAATGAACTCATCATAGTAAGATTAAATAAAAAAGTTCAAAATGCCAAATAATGTACGAAGCATTGGAGATCGAAAATTCCGAAAGGTTCTGCCAAATACAGCTAAGGTAATCTGCTTCTAGGATTGAAAAGTATTTCGAAGTTTAACGGTTGGTAAACAGTTAATTTATAATTATGACCATATCAATTATAATTCACTTCAACACATGTACAGAAGTGCTGACTACTGCGCTGGTGATACCTTCGAGGAGTTAACATCAAACAGCAATGGCATCAACCCGTTGGTTGAAAAATAATTCATCATAGATCAAAACTATGCCAGGCTAATGGGCCAGAAGGGTTAGCAGATCCTGTTTCACTAGTAACATCCATCGCATGACTTATGATATATTCGATGGTTAATGTACATAAAATATCCAGGTTCACTTAACAAGTGTCAAAGGTAGGTTAAATCAACATTGCATAACAATAATCTGAAATTCTGATAATTAACCCAAAAAACTATTTCTAGTTTAAATCAAGACATGTCTACGCATCATTGGTAAAACCTGTTGAGAGTCATGCGTAGGAATGAAATAAATCCAGAAAATTCCAATTATCATTATTCATATGTAGAAAAAAATTAGTTTGATTCCTTTGTTTGCAAAATTTTTCAAAGAGCGTATAACCTGTAACCGCAAGCATTTGGAAAAAACACAAACACGGAGCCATATCATATACATTGTACTTTAAATATGAATTGGAATACAATTATTCGTAAGAAAATTTAAGTTTTTTTTTTTCGTGCACTTCTAATGAAAAGACAAGGTGTATGGTAACAAATGTCATATATCATAAACTCTATCTTATGTGATAAAGTTTGTCAAACATCCACTGTACACCATAGGCCATCAAGATTTCTAAAATAAACTGTCCATAATAATATTTATACCAACTGCATGCATCTTATATTACTGACTTAAATCCATTATCTAAAATTATTAAATGATATGAGCAAATCAGCCCTAATACGGACAAATCAGCATGTGCAATACTGATGACGTTGCCCGGTCGATATAAATTAAGAGTTAATATTGCTTTTCAAACCGGTCCAATACGGAAAAAGCCGTATTGGCCCATGGGCTTATACGGGACGTTCATTTCCGGTTTAAATTTTCTTACGCCTAATTATAAGCTTACTTAACTTTGGACGTATCGTTCTGCATAAAATACATTTGTATCATATTTTTTAACTTAAAATAACATAAAAAATGTTTAAATGATGTTCCGTGTTTTGTAACGTCTTGAAACGGAAATATTTCACAGCCTTTTCGAGTAAAACTTTCGATTATTATCACTGTTTTATTTCCGTTGGTCAATCATCATCAGAACGCAGACGATTCAATGGTTAAACTGTCTGATTTATTCTTCCCAGCTACTTTATATTTGCTAGATGAAATGAAATGTAATAGCATAAGATTAAGTACTTGGACGAGAAATCATGCATTACATCAATGTTGACAAAAAATCCATCGTGATTGCAAAAAGATCTTGAATGAATTTCTGACTTCTGTATCTTCTTCACGGTAAGTTTCTTATTTTAATCAAAGAATTAAAATCATTTAATAAAAGTGTTATGAACTGGCTGTTTCTGTATTGGCCCTGTTATAGATTCTCGATCAGTTGTATTGGCCCTCGACTCTTCGAGTCTCGGGTCTAATACAGCTAACCTCGAATATATAACAGGGCCAATACAGAAACAGCCAGTAAATAACACTTTAATATTCAACATTCTTTCTATTCATGTTCTCACGACCGATACGTGCATACAGATCATAAACAGAAGAGAGGTCTTTTAAGTGCCATAACTGTTGACAATTGTAAAACGCTACGAATATTCTTGCAAGTAATAATCAAAGTAATCAATGCATTACACATTCATCTAATACGACCTTCGTACAACTAGCGCCTCGACTACTACCTCTTGCCCAACAACCGTTTTTCCCCAACAACAATAAAAGTAATGACAATTCACGAGTTCGATGAGGAGGAGGATCTTTGACGATTTGAACATGATTGGAATTTGCAACATAAACGGCAAAAATGTAACCTTCAATAGTATAGGCTTCTGTTCAAAAGCTCAAATGGACAAATGAGCATACATTTGTAAAGTCGTTAAATCATTTTTCACGAAAAAGTTCTTTATTGGTCACTTTTAGGGAACTACAGATATTTTCTTTTGTGAATTTTCAAATATGGACAAATTGAAAATTTATGTAAATAGATATAAGAAGATGTGGTATGAGTGCCAATGAGACAACCCTCCATCCAAGTCAAAATTTATAAAAGTAAACCATTATAGGTCAAAGTACGGTCTTCAACACGGAGCCTTGGCTCACACCGAACAGCAAGCTATAAAGGGCCCTAAAAATTACTAGTGTAAAACCATTCAAACCGGAAAACCAACGGTCAAATCTATATAAAAAACGAGAAACGAGAAACACTTATGAACCACATCAACAAACGACAACTACTGAACATCAGATTCCTGATTTAGGACAGGTGCAAACAATTGCAGCGGGTTTAAACGTTTTAATGGTACCAAACCTTCAACCTTATCTGAAACAATAGTGTAACATCACAACATAGAATGACACACTATAAAATATCAATTGAAATGGCTTACCTCAATCAAAAGACATATTAACACCAGTGAACATACACGGAACAAATAAATTTGATCTATGATACAATGTAAATACAAAATAAATAAACTAATGGAAGAATAATTAAAGTAACATGTTATACTGCTGTGAAATGTTAAACAATTTAAGAAAAAACAATATGCTTGAACAAAAATATCAGCCATTTGCAATTACTTTAAACACAGGTAAATGAAAAAAATTTTGTTTTTAGGTATACGTGTAAAGTTCAAATGGAGAAAGGAAATATTTTTACAAAATAAATAATTTTGATGTTTATAGTACGAAGAAGTGAAAAATTATAGTAATACCAAACACTTATCAAAGCTGGTATATAGACTAGATTTAACCCTGAATAAGTAAACCTTAAATAACAAAAAAGTATTACAATTAGTATCAACAGGTCAAATAAACAAGAAAGTACGATTTGAGAGTACTCGCAGTTACTGACAGCTAGTTAAAAGCCAAAAACAATTAATAATAAAAAATCATGCATCAGAGACTAAAATCAACTAAAACACATCCCAGGGATTTAGAATTTTACGTCATGGACAGTCAAAGAAGACATGGCTTGTGCAATGCCAAAAATAAATGTATCGACAGGCAGTAGGCAGTGGCGGATCCAGAACTTTTCATAAGGGGGGGGGGGCCTTCATAAGGGGGGGGGGGCGCTGACTGACCTAAAGGGGGGGGGGGGGGGGCCCGCTCCAGTCATGCTTCAGTGATTCCCTATATAATCAACCAAATTTTTCCCACGAAAGGGGGGGCCCCGCCCCCCCCCCCCCCCCCCCCCCCCCCCTGGATCCGCCTATGGTAGGATAGTTAGGAGTTAACCTCTTTATAGATCAAAATGAACGTGGGTGTATCTTTATACATCCCGTTTGAAAAGAATACAAATTTATTTATGTTTAGTTTGCTGATGACAAAATCGATATTAGTGCCAATGTAAACTATATTCAAAGATCTAATTACAACATTGGTAAGATAACCTTTACTAATAAGTTTGTTTAAAGGTTCGATGAGTTTACACGGATCACATAGTGATTTTCGCGCTTTAAGTACAATATTACAGTAAAATTTAGGATGTGAAATACCGTTTTTAATCAGTTTTCTACAGGTACAGACAAATTTACTTATCAAATCTTTGTATATATGAAAGAATTTAGTAAAAGTTTTACGTAATTGATGGTAACGAAATCCCTGACTTAATAATTTACCAGTGATGCA